CCTTCCCTCTAGTCTTACACTGCTAAATTAGGGACGGCTAGCGCAGATAGCCCTCGTGTAGCTTTGCGCGAAATTCCAAAAAACAAACAAACACTCCTTCTTGCAGTATATTTAAACATTCACTATTTTATAACGTCGCTTTATCAAGATTTATATCAAGAAAAAAAATCTCAAGATGGTGATTATCCACAAAGACAAGATGTTTATACAAAATAATGTTGTTACAGAGATATGTCTCGTTTATAGTTATTCCATGTTCTTTCACTTCTTGACTTTAAATCTAAATACACCAATCCATATTTTGCTTAGTAGGTTTTGTTTCATTCATCTCCAATTACATAATACAAAAAATACAACAAAGGATTTGTCTATTTAAAACAATTGCCATTTTACAAATATATAGTATTTTATTTAATAATGCTGCATATGTGAAAAAAATATTTCGGCTTTGGCTCATATGACATGACACACGCTTTGTTTGCGGGATGTCGAGAATTCAATCCCGTCTATATCATGTTTTCACCCTAAACACTGTTTTCAATAGTCAAATGATTTTAATTCACACATCGTAGGTGAAGCATGAGTGTGTCCTCTAGTTAATTATAACAAAAGTAATAAAATGTGAGTGAGTATATATATATATAATTATAATGACTGGAAAATATCATGTTACTTTATTACTATAATGTGTGAAGGATAATGGATTATAAACTGATAGAACGACTTACCATATTAAAAACTGTAAGAACGTAAATTGTAACATTTTCGGCACTATGTTTCTTGACCATATTTTTGTCTACAACGACAAGAGTTTCAACATTTCGACGACGTTTGCGGTCGAACTTATGCCCGTTTTGGACGTGTTGGTTTTGGGAATTCATTAGGCAACCAAAATCTTCTTTTCCTTTGGTTTTCGTGGCATGTCTGCAAAGAAAGGAAACGTATGTTAAGTTCTCCGGTTGTCCTAATATAAATCACTGAAATGAAAACTCATAGCTCAGTTAGTTATGTTTAAAGAATACTTTAAAAATACTATATTTAAAGCTTGTGAAGAATATTTGCAGGTTTCCATGACTGTTGATTTAAGACCCATAATTCAGGCCTGCGAATTTATTCATCATAAAAGTTGTTTTGGTTTTAATAACGGATTTTGTATTTTCCATAATTCAGCTACGCAGAGTTCGAAAATAATACGCATGTTTTTCTATCACGTGAGGGTTTTTTTATGAATCGGGAAGAAAAAGAAACTTATACTGAGTTCAAATTATTATTTCGTTCACCACAGTGAAATTTTTATTATTATTATTATTATGTATGTTAACAAAAATACAAACAAACTGAAGAAAATGGAAGAACATTGATG